TATTTAAATATTTAATTTGATTTGATCAAATTTAAATTATTGTTTAATTCAAATTCAAATTAATTATTCAAATATTTGATTTGATTCAAATGAATAGTAAAGCTATCTCCAAAGTTTTAGGAGTGCTTTTACTAAGAAAAACTATAGTAAAAAGCACCTCTGTAACTTTAGAAATACCTTTTTACTAAGAAAACCATAGTAAAAAATACCTCTGTAACTTTAAAAATGCTTTTTACTAAGAAAACTATAGCAAAAAGCGCATCTATAACTTCAGAAATGCTTTTTTTTACTAAGAAAACATAATATAAAATGCCTTTACAACTTTAAAAATGATATTTTACTAAGAAAACATAGTAAAAAATACCTTTATAGCTTTGGAGATGTTATTTTACTAAGAAAATATAGAACATATAAAATAAATAAATATTTATTTTTTGAACTTTAATTATTTATTATTTCAATATAAAATGATATCATACCTATTATTGCATTTTAATCTAACATTATCAAAAATAAAATGTAATAAAAATTAAAGTTTAATAAAAAATTATCAGAGTCCTATTTTTCTAACAAACCTTTTATATCAAAATAATTATTTGAAAATTCTTTTTTTACTTTAATTTGAAATTTATTCATTTTTAAAAATAAAAAGATTTAATTTTATATTTATTATATTAAAATATTAAAACTAAATAATTAATTTAAAAATTAAAACAACTTTAATAATATATTTTCCTTTAATATCTTTATAAGTAATATTAATTTTTTAGTTTTGTGATTCAAATTTTAATTCATTAATTTACAAATTCACAAATTTTACAAGTTTTTCAAAATGAAATAAATTTTTTTAATAACTTTTCTACTAAGTTACATAATGTAAAGTATTAAATTTATACCCACCATCTATTTCTTTTGATAAAATAATTGCAAATACTTTTTGATTTTTTAAAAATGGAATATTATCATCTTTATAATATATTCAATTGTAATAAATTTAATCATTTATTTCTATTAAATTAATATCATCATAAATAATTTTTAAAATTTTGAAGATGCATTTTTTTATACAATTTATGTTAGATATAAATAAAATTTATTAAAATAAATAAATCTAAAACAATTATAAATCTTTATAAAGGTTATTTAGTGATTCTTTTTATATATTTTTTTTTATAATTTCATCTGTAAAATTTTAACTTATTTGATAATATTGTATATTGCCTTTTAACATTTTCATATAACTTTCATATTTTTTTGATACTTTCGATCAAATTTTTCAGAATTTTAAATCTTTTTATCCTATTTTTTAATATTGAATTGTAATCCAAAATATTATCATTATATTTACTTATTGATTAAAAGAATTTTTGAAACATTATTTAATTATTTACAAATTATTTATCTCTTTTTGTCATCACTAAATTGAATTTCAATATTATCTCCTATCAATTCATGAAATGAATTTTCATCATTATTTAAATATATTTTATTATTATTATATGTACGAATAATATTTTTTTTATTGAATTATATGCTTCTCTAATGATTTTTTTTAGGTATATCGATTTATTGTATTTTTTTTTTAGTTCGATACAATAATTAAAAAATGGTTTATTTTATTTAACATTATTTATTACATTTAATGTAAAAAATATAGATTTTAAACTTTATTAAATCATAATAAAACAAATTTTTTTTACAAAATATTCTTCAAGTAATAAATTAATTTTGAATAAAATTTTTTTTTTTTCATGATTAAAACAATTGAAATGTTTAATAAATTGTCGTATAATTTTAAAAATTTTATTCAATAATTTATTCTTTTTCTTCTTTCTATCTTCGAGCTTTGTTTCTATTTTCTTTTATGATTTTTAAAAATTATGATTTTATCGACGAGCTTTCCAATTTTCCGCATTTTTTCTTGTATAAGCTGTGTTTAATATTAATAATTGGTTTTTATCGTTTTCTAATTTTTGAATTCTTTTTTCGTTTTCTGTTTTTTTCTAAAATAGTGAAAAGTGAAACGTTTAATTTAATTATCCATCTATGAATCACTTCACAGAATAATAAGGTAGATTTGATCATGTGAAATTGCGTGACTTTCCAGATAAGGGTCTATTTTTATTATACCAGATAAAGTAAGAACAAACGAGTTTATTTCAATATTTAAGTAAATTTTTTTTGTGGCATGTATAAAATTTTACCAAATAAGGATTTTCATGATTTATTATAAAAAGTCCGTCGAAATTATATAATTATCCATACAACTAAAACCAAAATTATTAAATTAAATATAATTATCGCATATTGAAAAATTTAAAAGGTATATCCAACCTTATTTATTCAACTTTCCAAATGTCGATATCTATCTTACTTAATTAATTAGATGGTTCGAGTTACAAAATCTCAATCAAAAAAGAAGAGAGATAAATTTCGTGGTCAACAAAGACGAATTAATCAAGTGTATGAAATAAAGGTGAGACGGGATTTAATTAAGAATAGTTCTTTTATGCTTGAATCTGGCGAACATTTATTCCGATTCGGGTTTTATCCCTCTGAATCTGGCGAAAATAAATTCCGATTCGCGTTTGAACGGTGACATTATATTTCGACCTCATTTAGTTGACCATGGCAACTAATGAGTTTTAAATACTTGTAGAAAAAAGAAGTCATTACAGTTGAAACTCAGACATTTATCAGTGGAAATTTTCGATCAATTTCACAATACAATGATGTTGAAGATAAAAAATAGTATTATTTTTATATAATTTTAATAGAACGGATCATTAAAAGATATTATTACTGGAAAAGAGAAAAAGAAATAATTTATCAAAATTCGGGGGGACAAAAGTATTGCACAGTTTTGATTTAGATATTTTAGATATCATATTTTTTTAGTAACATATTGTCTAGATTATGCTTAATAAAATATTTAAATAATTGTTAAAATTAAAGCATTGGCAAGGTATAAAATTGAAAATTTAAAAACACATTACTTTTCAATTTATCGCATGTACTAAGCTTCGATATTGGATTTAATATTTGGTTTTTTAGATGTTTCTCTTGCAAAAGAAACCAAATAACAATTGTATAACGACATCCTATAATATTTAAGATTTCTGAGTTGCTGAACCCAATTTTTGCTGTAATAATGCCTTTTTTTCTAAAAGATAAGTCCTTTAATTATACTATCACTTGCGCTAAATCAAACTTTGGGAGTATTTTCAAATTCGATTTTATGAATTGCAACATATTAATTCAAACTATAATAAAATATTTCATTATGTAATCGTTAATCAATAAGTTGCTAAAAATATGGCTTAGTTACATATAATAAATTAACTAAAATATTTAAATCAAAAACTGTGCAATATTTTTGCCCTCCCCCGGTAAATTTAACCACTTAAATATTTTTTTTATGTTTCATTTTCTAATTCATTTATGACTTTTTAATCCTTCAATCAATTTTTTAAAAATTTTTCATAATGATTTATTATTAAAACCTTGCTTTCACAGACAAATTAATTAATAAATCACGGAAGTCTTTTTAACTATCGGGTGAAAGCCATATAAATATATTTTTATTAAAAACTAAGCATCAAAGCTGTGCCTCGTAAAGATCCTAAGCATCAAAGCTTACATAGCCTGGCTTATATAGCCTGCGCCTCGTAAAGTATTGTGCCTCATTATACCGAGTTGTATGTGTAAATACGTTCTTGAACTCATGTTTTAAAATATAACGAAAATATTAATTACTCTACGAAAAAGGTACAAAATATGCAACAACTATTGGCCAAAAATGAATTAGTGAAACGCTAACAAAGCTTGTCGTCGTCCTTGTAGTAATCTTTATGAGGCACAGTCTTAGTCAACGTATTCCTACCCGTAATCGCTCTGGTAAGGTGACTTTTTTATAAAATGTAAAAATTATATCATGTTAAATATGTAATTGTTACATCCTTATTTTTTATATTTAATAAAGTTTTAAATAAAATATTTTAACACAAGAATTGATTTATTTTAACATATTTGAATCCTAAATAATTTATTAATTAAATAATAAAATTCAACCCAATTAATTATATTCATTAAATTAAAGAAAATATAAAATTTTTTCAAATTCATCATTTACAAATAAGGAGGTAAATATTTGAGGGAGAGAACAACGTATGAGTATGATCATATCATAATTTGAAAGATCGTACCGATCTGCAGAAAAACTATAAAAGATTGTGTTTAAAAACCAGATTTGAGCAATAAACTCGTGTTTATCTGGTTTGAATATTAAAATAATTGGTTTAAGCCCTCGTTTAAAATGTTAAACTTTTCCTTTTTATTTTCGTGAATATACAAGTACCACTTTGATATGTTAAACTTGTATAATTTTTTTTGGTCTATCTGCTTGGTTGGTAGTGGATCTTTAAATTATTTGTTTATTTAAATACTTATTTCTTGATCATTTTATCAACCGATAAAGTTAGATGCTATGGTTTTAAAGTTAGAGCGAAGATTCGTCACTAATCAAGTAGTGATCAAAACCTTGTATTAACTCGGATGCCTATACGATGCTACTCACAGGAGGACTCCTGGAGAGTAATGGTATCAGAAATAGGAGTTAGGAGTTATTCCGCATAACTTTTAAAGTTGAAAAACTTAAAAAAGTAAACCGATCTCGTACATGATTGATACTTGAAGTGGTTGGTACTTATTGATGTAAATAAGTTTATTGTTCGATATCAATCATGTTTAAGGTGGCGTTCAGTGCTCAATACAATGTCTAAGAGTACCTGGTCGTATTGAAACGCATGATATTTCCTTAGTCTGGGATCACCTGTAGTTGCACTATAATGTATAAAGAATCAGTATGTCTTTAAAGGATATGCATTTGTTGCGAATGAACATGATTTTTTTTGAATTTTTTTATATTATTTTAAAGTTTTTTATTAATTGATTATCGTTTCTTTAGTTATATTTGATTTTTGAATCTTTTCACCACTCGACTATTCATCGATTTTGTTTGGTGGTGGTTTCAGTAGAAACTAGCATTTTAAAATCATACTGGTTCGATGCGGTTAAGGCACTAAGCGAGTCTGACATTCAGCATAACGACAGGCAGATGCATATAAAATATATTTTAATGATGGGGTACGTCTGAATCATCACTAACGGTTACCGGTACTTTGGAGAAATACGATTCACAAAACATTACTTTGTCAGATTTCTTTATGAAACTGTCTTTTTTTTGAGTAAAAGAATGGATATTTGGGGTAAAGGTGGGATGGCAACCACCGAACATCATACGATATTAAGTAGTCCTTTTATTTAAAAACAGTGGCGATTTGTACTATTCGTTAGGAATTTCAGCTATGGGTGACTGGTATCCACCTGAAGCGACTGCAGGCGTTTTCGTTTACCAATGTGAGATTCAAACTACTTATAAAGTCTTGATTATTTTTATTGTCTTGTTTTGCATTATCATATACAGTAAATCTGTCTACCACCTTAGGAGTGTTTGAGGTTATAGAATAATTTTAAATGTTAATGAAATTTAAAGTTGTTTCGTTCCATTCATTTAACATTATACAAGGCACTCTATTCTCCTCCTTGACTTTACGAAAATTATAAATCTCTTGTTGATTCGCGTATGAACATGTGAGAACAACAAACAGACTTTATAGGTCATATTTTTTCTTAGCTTATCAATAAATAAATATTGTGCAGAATCCGTTTGCTAACAACCATACAAGAATTACCGGAAAGCTGATTCTGAATCAATGATACATGACATAGCCTTTTCAGGTATCGAAGGGGATAACAAACGTTATTGATACTATTGAAGAGGGAAATTGTTGGTTTTATGCATGTTATGTCATTACCTATTATTAAAGCCTATTTTGACCATCTTAGATGTGCGATAATGAAACTCGTGATTTTTTATAGCCTAAATATATTTCTTCGTGTAAGTTGTAAACATTGAGATACTATCGATTTGAAAAGCCAAAAACTTCGAATTCGCCAAATTGCCTACTCCTGCAAAAGCTTTGTAATATCTTTGAAAAGTTTATGAACATTGAAAGGTATTCTAGAAATTTGGGGAAAATAAAAATGAGTTGATGTATAATGTAGTTCTTATTTTTATTTTTAGGTGGTATGTAGAATTTATAAATAAAAACCATACTATACAAACCTTGCTATATACCCATTTTAGACGGATAATTCTACTATCTCGATTTAATACATCTTCGCATATTGCGTTGAGACCTGACAAACCTAATCTGTTTCTTTCGCACTCTTATACATACTCTTCAACTACGTACACCTCTTCCAGTGAATCCTACTTGAGAAATTTCTGCAAAACGGCCTACGGTATTAGCACATTTGTTCATCTTTTTTTTGCTTAGTTGAGCTTATATTATTTTTCCAGCAGGCCACTTTAGGAACGAAAATTTTGTTACCTGCCATCGGTCTGGTAATCAGTGAACTTTATAACGAATATCTCCCATATATAAAACTATTAAAAATGGTAATTTGATGAGGCGGATGCTTGATTGTGCCTCGACCGCAAGTATTAGATAGACTTAAGGAGATTTTTCAGCCAACTTAGAATGATTATTTTTATTGTTATTTGCGGCGAGCATGGTACCGGAAAAACAACGCTGAGCAAGATTGCGGCAAGAGAAGTTAGGACGGGGGGTTATATATGTAATTTCCGTATGAAAAATAATTGGAAGGGCACTTGGCAAAGCCATTAATGTCAAGAAATATATTTCTTTTAACGGGAAAATAGACGTGGAAAATTTTTGGTTAGAATAATATGTTTTAATTATTATTATTATTATTATTTATTAATCTCAGTTTTCCTCCTTATAGTTCGATTTGAGGATTCCAAATGGAATAGCGTGCTGCTAATTAAATTTTATTTTATGAAGCAATGTAAAAAGAATCCAAATGTGATTGATGGACGGGGTTATTTTTATTAGAACTTAGCGCACGAGGTTTGTGGTGAGATATTAAAACAAATCAATCTTACGAAGGTAGGTAGGTATTTACACCAAATAAAAATTACATGGCTTGGTTTAGAAGTTTTCTGTAGATATCAAACAGAAAATATTTACAGCAGTTGAGATGAATTTCCATGAAAGCAGAAATTTAATCCAGGTCAAACAAATTACGAGACAGCGAAGTCACTCATAAAAACTTTGTTGGAGAATAATGATGAGGAGCTTAAATATGGCATGCTTCAACAAATAGCTAAAGACGATGCATTTTTGAATAAATTGTCGACAGCCAACATCATCCGGCAACCGATACTTTCACTTTTCACTCTCAATTTGTACGATGTTATCTAGAATGTTAAAAGTTCTGTCATTGACAAGAAATGATTCTTTTTTTTTTTTTAAAATAAAATTTATGCTCTATTTATTGTTTTTATTGTATATACCATATCGCTAAAAGAAAAACCTTCGTATAAATTTTTATTATGATTTGCAATTTAGATTTATTAAAACGTCATATTTTATTCTTCGTTTGAGGGATAATGAAGCTATTCTCAAGTGATTTCAAATACACTTTGGATTTAGTTAATACTGTAATTAAAAATCTCAATCAATCATATTTGCATGAATACGTATGCATCGAAAAACATTTTTTTGTTTGATTTTTGTCTGAATTTATTTTAAAGTTCGAAATTACATTACTAAGACTAAATATGAAAATATGATGTAAAAATTAACATAGGAAAAAAATCTATGATGTAATCAAACTGCCAACCAATCTTATATATGATTTGATCGTTTCTTCCTACTATTGACTTTATCTCATTGTCCTTTACAAAAATGCAATTCCCGTGAAAATATGTTGAAGCAAGTCGAGAAGTATTTTAAAAAAAAATAAATCATAGTTATAATTATTAAAAGAGAAAGAATTCTTTCACCTAATAAACAGTTTGGCAATTGATAACATTCATTGTTGTAATCTACTATCCAAAAAAAAAAAAAAATGAAAATTATAATATGCATTAATAAGAATATTTACAGTAAATAATATTTCCTTTATATAGAGGTCAAACTGTTTCTATTAGATCTGCTTCCGGAATCGGCATCACCTTTTGAACCAATTATAAAAATTCTAATTTGTCCGACCATTCCTTTTAGTTCCTTTATTTCATTATTTAAATCATCTCTAACACTTTTCAATTCTCTTTTAACAAAATCAACATCTAATTCACCCATTTCTTCCAACTCTAATTTTCTTTTCCAGTTTTTTATAGAATCTACGTGAGCTTCATAATATATTAAATGAGGGAACCAATCCGGATATTGACGATGCGAGGGTGAGAGCATTAAGATTTCGAGTTCCGCTACTAATTCTGCTCGTTGACGTAACCATGCTTGTCGTCCTACTTGAAGCGAACCACTGAATACCTCGGTGATTAAACCTATTGATTTTAAGGAATTTTTTTTTTTTTAAAAAAATGAAAATCAAAGATAATAATAACGGAATAACAAATGAAAACACCATTACCGATAAGAATGTTCAAAAGCATGATTACAGTTACGAGGCCTATGAAAATTTACCAAAAAAAAAAAAAAGTTAATATGCAATTGATCTTTAAAAAAAAAAAAAAAATGAAATGTTTCTTTCTTACTGAATAAAATCATCATGATATACAAGGACCAATCTGGATCAAAACCCGATACGCTATCCCATCCAATACCAAGAAAAAAATAAGTAGCTAGAATCGAATAATCAAATCTTTGCCACATATTAGTATTTTTGTCGGGTATTTGATTCATTTCTATCAATGCAGAATTTCCCAAATTATCAGTTACTGTCCCACTAAATTTTGGAACAAGACCCGCGGGATCCTTTTCACGTAAAAGGATATACATTGCATTTGAAAATCCCTTAAATCAAAAAAAAAAACGTTAAAGTTTGACATTATTCCAAAAAAAAAAAAAAAAAAATCATCAAGATTATACTTACAAGCACTATAATGAATAATGTCATCAATAATGTTTTGATCCTTTTACCAACTACAATTACGATTGCTATGAATTTCCCGGTTGCCTCAAATGCTCTTGATTTTAACAACTAATAATCAAAATCAAATCAAAATTAATCAATCTTAGAGTTAAAGAAAAAACGATAGAGTTACTTTCTCGATAATTTAAATTTTAATACCCCATTCAGCCACACACATAAAACCGCAAAACCTATCAACCATATTGGAGGTTCTACTTTCATTAGGACCGTTAAAGAAGTTGCAAGTGGCAAACAATAGCTCGCCAAATCAACATAATTAAAAAAACTTGTCCAATAATTTTTCATTCCACAGGTCATTTGTCTTATTTCTTGCAACAAAAACATCATGGAAATAATCGTTGCGACTATAAATTTGCTATTTGATCTTCCATCTTGTGTTGATTCAATCGAGACTGTCAGACAGAATGTAATTCCGAAGATTATATAAAATGAGAACTGCCATAAATATAGACGTTTCGCAAATTTCTCCCTTTTATTTAAAAAAAAAAAAAAAGAAGATAATGGGTCCAAAATTTCATCAAGTACAACAAGAGATATATTAACTATGAAAGTTAAGAAACTCACCACTTAAATTTTATTATAGCTTCCATGGCAACTTCACTAAACATCTCAGCTGGGCCATTTAACGCCACGTCGGCGAACGGACTTCTTTGTGCTGGAGCAAAATATATATACCAAAATCGATGCATTATATTAGATAATGATGAACTTGATGAACTATCTTTTATGGGCAAACGAGGATAGACACAAAAATCCGGCAAGGGAACAACACATAATTTTGCGGGATGCGTTTTTTTCACGTCTTCTAACCGTTGTTTACGTTGCTTTAGTTGCATATAAATTTCTTTGTTCAGATCTTTCTTTTCTGTACCATGTGCATAATAACGTGTTTCATTTGGATGATAAACCAGAGCTCCAGTATGATGACGCATTTTAATGTTAAGACTTGATGGTCTAAACAATTTACTCATTATTGATCCTTGGTTATCATCAGGGAAACTTATTCCTTTTGGCAATCGAGCTATGCGTGCTACAGCTTTTAATTCTTTATGCCAACTTCTTTCTTCCCCATACGATAAATCTGTTTGTAAAATTCTCGAGGGTGCCTCTAAAGAAACTGTAAAGTAACTTGATTCTTTCATAACGAAGATACCTTTGTCGGGATAATATTGAAATAATTCCAATAAAGATTTTCCCAAGGTCCAAGCGAACCCAGGTTGTTGAACTTTTTTATCAAGATTCGTAGAATTCGAACGATTGCGTATTGCGACATAGCGTTGTTTTAAATGTTTCATGATATAATTAACCATTTGTTCAACCAACTCTGATTTTTGAAGTTCTATTAATAATAATAAAGCACTTTCGGTTTGTTCTTTGTCATGAAAAAGAGGAATAAATCGGTCAGTTTTAAGGATACTTTTTACCAAATCATCCCAACTCAACATAATGAAATCTTCCATGGGGTAAAATTCGATACCCTCCCAATAACATTTGTTGAAAACTGAAGGAAAATGAATGACCGAAGAGTCAATAAGCTTCCTCAATTGATCTCTGATTGCTAATTGATTAAAGACCTGTATATTAGGCGTAAAAATCATTCGAAGATAATGTACTGCAGCACACGCATCAGATGCTATCCTATGCGTAAGTTTATCATTTTCATTTGGTATAGGTAAAGAGGTTGGTTCATTATCTTTAAATTGTACATGAAGCATTGTATGTTGGGGTGGGTTACTTTGGTCATTTTCGTCTAGGGACGTTTCTAAAATTACAGATTTTATACAAGAGTTGGTGACCCATATATATTGTAATTCCAACTTTAAATATTGCCCTTTTGGTTTCGTCTTGTAAATTTGTACACTGTCAATTCCAACCAGGACGAATCTCTTTCCCTCAGGGTCTAACCAACGAACAAAGATATCTTTACTACACCAATTATGCCATGGCTCAACTTTAAAGGTGCATTGCAAAACTTGATCACTATTATAAATTCGACCCCAACATATAACCTTTGATATTTGCGTTTCAAAATATAAAGTGATTAATAATCCATCCTCACTTGATTTGCAACCCTGTGATGTTGTTATTGTTAATGCTTCCATCGTAGCTGATGAATGATTTGGGATTAATGAATAGGTACATAATTCATTGCCAACTGCTTGAACAAATTTATCTCCAAGAAATAATAGTGGTTTATCATGTTTAAGGTTATGAAATTTTTCTTCGAAAACCAAACATCCGGCCCAACAATGCCACAATTGCACGCAAACTCCCTCCCCTTCTTTCGAACACACTATTATATGATCAGTTTTGGGCAAGAACGAAATATGGAAAGTGGTCCTAGAAACTTCGAATTCAGAAACCGCTAATGCCGTTGGAGTATGAAATAAATTTAGCGAGCTTGATGTCCCTCCAGGTTTATTATTCTGTTCCTCATAAAATCTAACGATTTTTAAAGTTAATATATGAATATTTTTTTAAAAAAAAAAAAAATTTGTTGTGAATTATATGATTGTTAATTTAATTACCTAGCTACGAGATTACCATCGGAAGAGATGGCGAATAAATTTCTCGAATATGAAATATTTTTTGCCTCAATATAAAACCATTGTTTTAACATTCCATCTGTATCCCAAACAGAAAGTCCAGATAGATTTTCAGGCCAAATTAAGTAACCATATTTCAAACTTTCGATCAGGATATCATAAGTGTACAATAAATATTCGTTATCATCATCAGAATATTTTGGACAAGAATGAATTAAAGCCGAGATGTCAATACTACTACCATGTAACCTCCAACTTTTTGTATAAAATAAATGCATCTCACTTTCAGTAAAACAAACTAATCTTTGATTATTTACAAATATTAAAGGACCTAAAATATCCATTGAATTTAATTTACCTAATTTATTATTGTAATTTTCTGTTTTATGAATTGTTGAGTAAACCACGAATGATGATTGTGATTGTGTATTAATAGCTGATTTTGAAATGTCTGAATTTTCCGCATCCATATTCGGAGAATCTTTTTGATTGTCTTTCATTATTGTCATCGTTGATATTGCAACATATTGACCATCTTCCGAGACTGAAATATAAATTTTGTATTGATCTTGCGATGCGGTTATCTTGTTATACGGAGTTTTGATACCGAATGTTGATTCCATAGGTACATTTTGACTATCAATTGGAAAAACTGCAAGGATTCCGTCCGTAGAACTCCAAGTCGCTATAAATTTATTGCCTGGGGACAAGGCCATAACGTCGATATCGTACTCGACAGGTGATTTTCCTAACTTTTCCAATTCATTTTCATCATTCTCATCTCCAAACTCTAATGAATCCCTAATTGATCTACTCCATGCTGTCAAGGAGCCTGAAATTTTTTCGAATACCTTATGTGAAGTGTCAAATAAACTTGATTTATCTGATCCCCGACTTTCTCTATCATCTATTTTATTACATGATGGTTTAATATTATCTAAACTTAATGAATAAGTTGGAGGTCTTTCTACCATAGGGCTACCACTATCGATAGTGATTACTGGGATAATGTTCGTATCTAGAACTAGATCGTCATTCATTGTTATTTTACAAATTCGTTTTTTTTTTTTTTTTTTTTCCTTTCAAATTTATAACTGGTGAGATAGATGATTTTATATAAATAATAGACTGATAAATTTGGATAAAACAATCTGTCGATTTATCTATATTCATATAAACTATTCAGGCAGAAACATTTATACATTAGGAAGTTGCGTGACAAATAAGCACAAGTTCCGCGATTCTTGGGAAAAAACCAGCATTCTTGTGTAAATGTTTAAACTTTGAGTAATTTCTAAAATTAGAGTACAAATGGTCATAAGATTTACACTACATCCGTCATTTTATATTTATTTATATATTTTGTTATGATTCAATGAATTGTTCGGATAAAAAATATGTACAAAATTCCCAAGTGATCGACTCATCCAAAAAAGCATTCACTTTAATTAGCCGAATTGATATATCTAAAAATTCAATTTTATAAAATTGTCCATGATAAAATCTTAATTTCTTTCCATTAGAAATAATTACCTTTTTTTTTAAAAAAAAAAAAAAAAATGGGCGTACTTTCTGGAACGGAAATAAAGAGATATATGAATGAGAAGTACGTAAATTTCTTCGAATGATTAACTTACGGTATATTCTTTATTTAAACAATTAAAACGATTAATAATGTTTATCGTATTAGAAAACTCATAATTGAGCCTTTTGATTATACTAATATCGGTACTGCAAGGTAAATTTTTTATATTTATTAAAATATTTTCCGACAACTTATTAATAAATTATCTACAATTTTAAATTTAGCGTTGATTTAACCCTCGGAAACGAATTTAGATATTTCATTCATAATAACGGACCAGTGCCGATTAGTGATGAAGCTGGTGCGAAAGATTATCAAAAATTTTCAAGAATAGTAAATTATTAAATTTAAAATTAATTTGTAATTAAAATTTTAGTTTATAAATATATGAAAGGTTTATTGTAATATATTTTTATTTTTTTTTTTTCATAGTTGAAATGTGAAGATGGTAAACCTTATTATCTTGGGCCTGGTCAAATGTGTTTAGGTTTGTAATAGAATTGTTCGTTTTTTTTTTTTTATGGAATTGAAATTAAAATAAAATATTTTTTTTTTTAGGAATTACCAGAGAAAATGTTAAATTACCATCAGATTTATGTGCATTAGTAGGTAAGTAAAGTATTCTAAAGTCCAAAATTAAAATAACAATATATTTCTCAACTTAAAATTTCTTTCATAGAGGGAAGATCAAGGTTTGCTAGATTGGGGTTATCAGTACATATTACAGCATCATTTATAAATCCTGGAGTAGATAATCAAACAGTTTTAGAAATATTTAATGCTTCAAGTCTATCTTTAGCCTTATATCCTGGAACAAAAGTTTGCCAAATGATTTTTATGACCATGGAAGGTAAAGCTGAATATAATGGAATTTTCCAAGGCCAAGCCTTGTAATTTTATAAATAATTTTGTGAAAAAAAAGACTTAGTTATAATAATTTAATCGTAACTAAAAAATCATAAATTTACACTATTTAAATCGGTGGAGTTAATTCAAATTGTATAGTAAAAAAAAAACATTATTCAATAAAAAATAAAATTGGTTAATGTAGAATTGAACAATTTTAACCAAAATCATTGTTTCCTTTATTCGGAATTGTCATTCCGATACTCCTGATTGATAAGTTATTGTTCCTTCATTGTTATTTTCTTTACAACTTTTTAAGAACGATAAAGCGCCATCCTGCGCATAATGAATTTTTTTTAAGTTAGGGGGTTGTCCCATTATAGATAAAATCCTTTTTGAATAACAAAAATTTGGGTTGAATATTTGATAGGTTGATCTATCATCATTATAATTACTAATATAAATAATGAAGCTAAATAATACTGATTTTTTCCAAGTTATATGACGAAATTTATGACGATTTTGTAAAATTATTGGTTAAATTCAAAACCGAGATTGGTTAAACCAATTTAAGACAATGAATAAAATATAGATAATTTGTTAGTGATAGCAAAATATAAGGTTATTTAATATTTTTTTTAAATGATCTTGGTTAGAATTTATAATTAAAATAAATCATTTGAAGTTAATTTGAATTCAATAATAACAAAATGTTTTTGAATTACTTAAATACTGTTTAATATTCTACCGATTCTTGCATATTATTACAGAAAATAATTCTCTTCACATATATTTTTCTAAGTTATTTTACTGTAACAAGTAAATTCCTTATAATCAAACTTATAAATTTAGATAATCTCCCATTCTACATATCTGAAATTCCTTGAATTTATTTTACTTAAATATATAACCTTATGGGTTTAGGAAATTAGAAACTTTATTTATTCTTAGTGATGAATTCAAAAGCAAATTTAGTATAGTGATTCATAATCAATTTCTAAATAAAGGATATGTAAAAAGGAATAGTAATTATGTTTTAAGTTGATCCTTTATTTATTAATTAAAACTTACAAAAAAGTTTAATTTATAATTTAAGTAAAAAGTTATTATATTTATATAAAATTAATTTGCTACAGCTAACTAATTGCTATACTATAGATTAAGTAAATTTGTAAAAATAAGTATTAAAATATAATGTTAAGTAAAAAAAAAAAATAATTATAACAAATTTTAATAAATATAAGAAATATAAAAATAATAATAAAAATAATAAAATATGAAAATAAGTGAAATTAGAAATATCAGATATATCAGATATATCAAATTAATCTGAAAATCAGAAAAATCAGAAATCTATTATTAGTCATTTGGCATAATATTTGGTAAATTATTACATTATCATTCTATAGTCACTAATGATTGCACAGTAAAAGTAATTTTTGATATTGATAATATTCTAAATTTAATAAACTTTTTATCCTTTATATCAATAATTCTTCTTTATTTATAAAGTAATATTTTTTAAAAAGATAAATAAAAGAATAAATAAGTTATTACTTATATAAATAGAATATTAAAACTTCTAAAAAAAAATATTCAATTATAAAATAAGAATGTTAACTATAGTTTAAGTTGTAAATTATTATTATTATTTATACAGATATAAATTTACAATAATAAATAATCATACTACTTTAATATAAATAATATGATAAATCTTATTAAAAGACTTGAATATTAATTAATAATACTTAACTTCTATAATATTAAAATTATTAATAAATCTGAAAATTTTACTTAAATATAAACACATTCAACCAGATACAACAAGTTCAGTAATCAAATAATAATAAATAAAGGACCAATCGGGTCAAATCTGGGTTATCAAATTTGACCTGATTGGTCCCCTATTTTTTTGTTTTTTTAGAATCAGGTGATTCTGATTGATGATGATTAATGGTATAGATAGGATACAATAAGATTTCAATTAGGGTGTTATAAAGATATCAATAGAGTTATTCTTATTGATATCAATTTATTAATATCCAGTTTCCAATCGGATTATCTCTAAGTCATCAATAGGAATATTCTTATTATTACTTATTATATAAAAGTATATTCCGATTGGTAACATTTTATAAATTTATTTAATACTTGTAATAATATTTTATACCAATAAGTAATCCCGATTAATTATAATAAAAAGAATTTTTATTAATATGAAATATCCTGATTGATAACATTTTATCAAATTTATTTAATACTTGTAATAATATTTTATACCAATAAGTAATCCTGATTAATTATAATAAAAAGAATTTTTATAAATATGAAATATTCCGATTGATACAATTTATATAAATTTAAATATATTTGAAATTTACCAACTTATTCAGTATTTATTATGAAATCTACTGATTTCTATCTATCATTATAATCTGTATTACTACTATTACTATCATACTCAGAAGATACCACACCTTTACTCCTTCTAATTTTCTCTCCTTCTTGTTACTTTCACTTTCATTATCATCATTATTTTTATCAGATTCCTCTTTACAATTGGATTCATCTTCACAATTAGATTCATCTTTACTATTAGATTCCCCCTCATGATTGGAATCCTTCTAAAATGGTTCCTTCTGAGTGGTTTCCTCCTGAATGGATTTCTGATATTTAAAATACTTAGAACTATCGGATTTCTGATTATTGCTTTCGAAATGATGTAGAATATGTTTTTTCACTAACGACCTTAATAATCTAGTATATCCAGATCTTGTCTATTTAAGAGCATTTACCAGTGCTTCATTTTCACCAGCTGCAAATTGGGTATCATCATATACCCTTTTTCTAGTTCTGCGTACTTTTAATGATTTAGAGTCTTCATTATCCATATAGTCTTGCAAAAATAACCGCAACTATTATAATAAAAAGGATAAATTAATACAACCCAATTGATAAAAATAAAAATAAAATTACTTACTGTGAATGATCACTATTTGGATTTCTGAATAACGATTTTTCTTTTATTAGGATTTTTAACATCAGTTTCTGAAACCTCTGGGCTATGATATCAATTATCAGTTCGAACTGGTTGAAGTTCATCATTATAAATTTTTCCAACCAGACGGTCCTTTAATCTAATACATCTATCAATAGTTCTTGCTCATCGTTCTTATTTCTAATATTTTTTTTTAAAAAAAATTTAAAAAAAAAGTTATTTTAACAACTAATCTGACTGTTTACTTACTTTATAATGACATGTGTTGGTGTGCTTCCTCCTCCTTTGGAAGTCATTCCATTCATCTCCTTTCTTTCTCTTAAGTACTTTTTCTCTTTAGTATCGATAGCATTTATGAATGATATGCTTTATTACGGAGTTTAATACCGAAAATGCTTTTTTATTAATCGATTTTTGTATAATCAGTATCATATGGTTATTAACCAACTTTCGTTGGCTTTCAAAGGTTTTGTTAACATCTAACCTTTGGTTTTAGAAAATCTATCAATAATACTGATTATTTCAGACTAATAATAAAAATGTAAATCAGTTAGCAAATAATTTAAACAAAATTATTCAAATAAAAAATAAAATATGAGTACCTTTAATACATTTCGTAATTTCCTATCCATACTTCCATACTTTCATAATAAATATATAAGGTTTTTAGAGAATCAGATGGGAAAAAAGGACACAAGGATCAATCCAGACTGTTTTAGTCAGAACGACTACTGATGGATTGATATGTTGTCTTTATGGTGATTTCTTATGCGTTATTGCCTAAAAATATAAAGAAATGTAAGAAAAATAGTACAGTTAAACCTTGATATAGCGAACTCTTGATATAGCGAATTTTTAAATCAAATATATTAAAATTAACTTTACTATAGTGAACTAGCCAATTAAATTCTTTAAAAAATTCGTTATAAGCTTATAACGAAGTTGATATCCAGATCCTAGAATTCGTTATATCAAGAGTTCACTGTAATCACAATATTACAAATTTACAAATAATTAAGAATGTTATTTTTAGTTCTATAAATTCTTAAGATTTTGTAGATATAATTTTGATTATGAATTAAATATGTTATTTAGCAATATTTTTATTATTTTTTAATGTAATAGATTTTTGATGTAATACAAGAAATATATTATAAAATATCAAAATTTAATTTAATATCATATTTGTCAGTCTTTTTAAATTTCATCATCTAATAAATAATTATATTTTGATTAATTATTTTAATACTCATTTTATTGTTATAATTATTAGCTTTTATTTTATTATGCTAACTTTTTATTCTTTTAAAGTTTTTAACTTTATATTCTTATTATTTGTTTTATATACTAATTATTTATTTTATTATTATAATTTGAGATATCAATTATAGTATTAAGCTAGTTCTAGATTTAAAAAAATCTGCAATTTTCAAAATACTAATTATTGACTTTATAAATCATTTGGCTTTTACTTATCATAATATATTGATTTTGATAATTTACTAGTTTTATATATTTCTTTTTTTTAAAAAATATACCATCAAAAATTTATGAATTTCCTACAATTTAAGAAATGATGAGGTTTTTTTTTTATTTTTTTTTTTAAAGACAATTAAAAAAGGAAACAAGCAGGGGTATGAATAGGTGTTCGTTATATTTTACAGGGATTAACACAAAATATCTATTATTTTATCAAATTTTCTTTCTAAATATAATTTAATTCTTGATGTTTTAAATTTATAAAATGTATTTTAATAGAATGGCAGGATCTCATCTGAATTCGTCAAGAAAATAAATTCTTCAAAAACCTCGCATATATATTTATGAAGTAAAAGATAAAGAAGCTCCCGATGACAATGATATTTTAACACTTTTTTTTTGATCTTCCATTTATCCAGACTTTGTATCGAGAAAATCATAGTGGAATTTTTGTCATTTGTCACTCACGAATTTTCACTTTGAAGCCTTTATTATGATTTTTTACCCTCGGTTAAGCCCCTGAAACTCCCTCAAAATAATTTCGTCGTATCCCTTACTATGTTTTTAATGTAGTTTCGGCTAATTTCGGGTTTCGGGGTTTTGTCGTACCCCTCACTATATTTTAATAAAATTTCGGCTGTTTATTAATTGCTTTTTTTGGGTTTCGTCCCTAATCTATGGTTGGAATTCAATTTATTTAAATCATTAGTTTTATTAAAAACATTAAGACATAAATGTGAAATTCTTAATATCCTAAGGGGTGCCTGCTAATTCTATAAACAGCTGAACAGATGTTTGGACCCTGTCTGTTTTTTTAGCCTTAGAAAATCATAAAAGGGAAGTTTGTTGATGTTAAAAGAATCAAAAAAAAAAAGAAAAAAGAAATAGGACATCATTCATATCATTGTGGTGACATCGTTGAAACCATCTTCGTTCCAATGAAATGTGAATGCAGGCATATTGAATACACGGAAGACAAAAGTAGCGGTGGGAGTCAGCCAATATTTATGGACATAAACGGACACGGAAATGCAAATTGATACATACTTTGCTTGCGATCGTTTAAAGCAGTCACAAAAGTTTAACAGAGTTGAGAAAAACCAATATCTCAGCTTGGAGGTAATGTAGAGTTTATATAAGAAAACTCGGAATCAATTAAAATGATATTATATTATTTTAAACGTAAAATAATCAAATTTTGATATTATAATAAAATAGGTAAACAGTTCCTTTTTGTTCCTTTAATTGTAATTAATTATATCGTAATATCAGATCTCTTAAACTTTGATTTTACTGCGCTAAGCTAAGCTATCCTTTTTTTTGACCAATCCGAGCTTTGGGTCTTAATCACGCGATTCTTTTTTTACTAGTACGTCTTTAAAAATTATATTGTATAAAATTATAATTTATTCAAAATTTTTTTTTTTAAAAAAAATTGCTATCTTGCAATTTTATATTCTATTTAAATATTTATTAATTCTAGTTACAAATTGTTGTTATTAATAATATAATTTTATTTATTTTTTTTTATTATTCATTATTATTTATACTTTATTGAAAACCAAAAAAAAGTTATACCTAAAATTTGTTCTTATACCAAAAATTCAATCACGTATTAGGGGTTTATAAGCTTAAATTTCACAATATCTTCATCCATATGAGAAGATACGACATGAGCTCTAAGCGCTAATTTTGTTCTAAATGGTTTTCCACAACCTTCCCAATCGCACATTAATGCGTTAGTTATTATTGAGATCTTTTCATGAGGTGGAGCGGGGATTTCCATAGGATGTAGTTCCATCTCCACTTTATCATCATCATTTTTTTTAACCCTTTTCCTTGACTGCCTATTCCCCTCAAAATTTTTACGATCATTCGAAATTTCAATGTCTGCTTTTCTACATAACATCTCTACCCACATTCTTCTCAATTTATCATCCGACCTTTTATTTTGTTCTTGTAATAGTTTGGATATACTCGTTTGAAGTTCAAGATCCCCTTTGATAATATTTATCTCACTATCTTTAAGAGATACTAGACTTTTTAATTTTATAATCTCTTTCGATTTCTCTTTAATCTCACATGACATATTTTTCATCTCTTCATTTTTTTTATCGAGTGCTTGAGATTTGTCTTCAAGTTCTTTTGTTTGATCCTTTATGAACTTTCGGAGTTTTTCCACCTCTTCCTTCAAATCAATATTGTTAATTTGACCTTGAAGATTCTAAAATACAAAAATGAATGAATGAATGAATGACTGTTTTAATAAAAGTAAAAGACATCAAATTAACTAAAAATGGATCTAACAGATCTAGTTACTTGATTTGGTGAGAGAATCTGTACGGGTGAATCTTCTTTTTCTTGAATCGAATGATAATTATTAACAATTTGAGATGGTACAACCGCATTAAATTGTTGTGGCATTTGATTTTGTATCCTTCCTAATGAAGATGACGATAAACTCTGAGCCTGTACAGGAAAATTGGAGGAGAATTGTGAAAATTGCGGTTGTAGTGATTGAACTGGTAAAATTTGAGATCGATATGGAGTGAATTGTTCCTAAATGAAGGCATTATTTAAAATGAGAGAGAATGGGAAAAATCAGCAAATGACTTGGAGATCAACGTAATACTGTACAGTCGATGTCCCAAATTGTGCTTGAATCGCAGGATTAACGGAAATCCATCCAGGATTCATTCGCATTAAATCATCATTGTCAATCGTTTGTGCTAGCTATTCATGTTAATTAATATGTCAAGGGAACATTATATACATATATATATAATAATAATTAACATAGGAAACGAATATAATTTAATACTTACAGATCGTGATGGAGTTTGAGGAATCTGAACGAGTTGTGGGGGTTTATGAATTTGATATGTATGAGGTGATTGTAGATTATTTTGCATATTTTGCATATTCACTTGACGTATCAAATTGCTATATAACTGGGTAATTCTTTGAGGATAATTATTTGTTGGCTCAAATCCCTAATCATGATATCCAAAATAAGAAATCGATAAATAAATAAATAAAAAAAAAATAAGAACCCGAACACTTACATGATATGGAGATACACCTTGAAACGTTTCCTGAGTTGGAAAGTAAGTCATTTGGTTATTAATGATAGGCAAAAGATGAGCATTTCGAATATGTTGTGTTAATAAGTATTTCGATTGAAAACTATAATGACGACAGGAATTCCATTTACAATTAAATGATGTCAAATTGTCCGGTAATGTTATTAAATGAGACGTGGCAATGTGTGTTGTTAATTCGGGCAATGATGTAAAGATTTCGCAGCAACTATCCCATAAACATGAATGAATAATTAATTCCGCTGATGTAATATTTGTAGTAGACATAAATTACTTTTATCAAGTGATTGATGATGAGCAAAAAAAAATGTCTCCCAATTCTTAGAATCAATAGATCAAATGAATAAGATAAAGGAATGTTTTCAATGAAAAGAATTGATGAAAGTATTTCAAATTTTAAAAAAAATGTTTTTAAGTTAAAATATATTATTAATGACATTAAGGTGATGTACTGCAAACGTCATAAACTCGCAGATCAATTATCGTTATACAACAGGAAAGTTTTTTTTTAAAAAAAAAGGTAACTAATTATTTTGTACAAAATAACCATAAAAGTAATAATAAACTTTTTTTAAGCGCTTGTGTAAATTAGGAAAGTCTTTGTGCAGCAGGATAGTTATTGACTTTCAAAAAATATATAAATTTTATTTTAATGAAAAAGCAACTATATTTATGGCAGGAAGCTGAGGTACTTTTTTTTTAAAAGAAAAAAAAAAATATCGATATTTTTCTCTTTTTATGTATGGTATGTATGGCAAGTGATCTATGGTGTAAGGTTACATTTTCGGACTAGTGTCATGGATCGGCATTGTATGAAACAATGCAAACACTATTAAGATTAACTTATTTTGATTAAAAAGTTTATTGTCATCAATTTTTTGTACTTTAATGAATGGTTGAATCACAATAAATTTTCTACCCTGATACTTTGTGAAATTGTTTAACGGATTTCATAATCCGAAGCCTATCTACTTATCTTTATAAGATATTTGCGACCACTTATTTAGATAATCAAAGAGACATCTTTTTAAGGTTGTGTATTTGTTCATACTGTGCCATATAGTCACATGATCTATTAAAATAAATAATCTGTATAAAATAGTTACTCGGCACAGTTCGGCATATTGTATCGTAACATAATAAATACTTAGGAACGAGTTATACTGACGTAAATCCTCAAATAGTAAAGGCCTGATAATATTTCTTAACCACTAATATTACTTACCTATTATCAAGATTTTAATCAATATAAATGTTTATATAAAATTTCCTTTTATTTATTAAGTTAATATATAAAATAAAAATTTTAAATAACTAATATCTATATAAAAATAATTTATATAATTTATTAAATTAAAACCAATCATTATATAATTTACATGTATAACAAATAAAAACTGTTAAAAAATAAAAATAATATTAAATCTCAACTTATTTTACTAAATAAATCATAAATAATAATTTATTTTTTTAGAATTTTGTATCTTTTTCTGCAAAGTACCCATATATAAAGTAAATTTGATAAGTTTATTTTAAAATAATATCACCTTAATTTTTATTGTATTTTTATTTAAATTTATAAATTTAAATAAATTATCAAAAAAATCATAAGATTCAATTAAGCAAATAATTTTATTAGTATTTTGAATCAATAAATATTTTTTGTTAATACAGTTGAACCTTTTTATAACAAATTTCTATATTCTGAATTTTTTATTATAGCGAATTATATGAGTGGTCCCAAATTTTATTAAATAAAATAATTGATAATAAAACTTATTATTATGTATAAGGAATTGAAGATTCTGACCAAGTATAATAAATGAAATTTTTATTAACAAAGATTTTATATAATGAATTTTTGTATTAAATTTAAGGGATATAGTGATTTTTTTCTTATATTACTATTAAAGAAAATATTACATTGTAAAATTTTAATAAAATATAAATTAATAATTTAAAAATTTGAAAAGAACTTAATTTTTTTGATTAATCATTCATTAAAATACCCAAAAAAATAAAATAAACTAGAATTTCCCTTACAGGTATCCAAATAGGAAATTTGTTTAAAAAGTTACAGAAACCAAAACCTAAAAATAAAGAACTTGCCCTAAAATTTAATATTTCAGAAGAAATAATATGTGATATTTAAAAAAAATAAAAAATATTTAGCTATAAAATCAGAATCTTATGAAGCTTCACTTAAAAGACAAATTAAACCAAATTTTCATAAATAAAAAAGTGTTAAGTTTTTGGATTAAAAAATCTGTAGATAATAATATTACTATTAGTTAGTATTTTACACAGATCAGATCAAAATCCGATTCAATCTGAATCTAAAAAATCTGAATCCAATTTGATCTGAATTCGTTTCTGAATTCAACAAATCTGAATCTGAATCTGTATCTGAATCTGACAAATCTGAATCCATATCTGTATCTGACAGATCAAAAATTTTTTTATCAAAAATCTGCCTCTAATGTTTGAAACAGCGTTTTAATGTTAAAAAATAACAATTTTGTTGTTTTTTTAACAAAAATTTGCCTTTAACATTTGGAATAACGTTTTAATATTAAAATAACAATATTTTTGTTGTTTTTTTTACAAAAATCTGCTTTTGACATTCAGAATGACGTTTTGATGTTAAAAAAACAACAATTTTGTTATTTTTTTTAACAAAAATCTGCCTTCGACTTTCAGGACAACATTTTGTTATTAAAATTAATTTTTATTAATAAAAATTAATTTTTTTAATAATAAATGCCACTTCTGACTTTTGGAACGATATTTTGTTATTAAAATTAATAAAAATTTAATAAATATCACATCTACTTTCAGAGCGACATTTTATTAATAAAAAATATTTTTTTTAATAATAAATGCTGCATCTGACTTTTAGGGTGGTATTTTTATATAAAAAATCATTAAAAATTTAATAAATGCTATCTCTGACTTTCAGGATAACATTTTGTTATTAAAAATTAATTTTTTAAATAATAAATATCATAAATGCCACATCTGATGAATCCAAATTTGAATCTGTCAGATTGAATCAAATCAAAATCTGAATCTGATCCAGATCTGACAGATTGAATCAAATCAAAATCTGAATTCGAATCTGATTTGAATCCAATAAATTCAATTTGATCCAATCCGTTAGATTAGTGTTCCGCAAAAAATCCGATTCGATCCGAATCCGATCCGGATCCGACGGATCGGATCGAATCGGATTTATCGGATTCGAATCAAATTCGGATCCGGATTTGGGTTTGATTCGATCCGTCGGATCCGGATCGGATTCGAATTCGGATTTGATTCAATCCGACGGATTCGGA